CAAAGTTTCTGTGGGGTTTGAGTCTTCTGTGGCAATCATTTATCCGCGCTTTGACCAGTCGTCTGCAGGTGGCTTTGACGATCTGGATGGCCTCCTGTGTGTTCAACGGGGGCTTAAGTTTGAGCCCGGCCGGAACAAGGCCGTGATCTTTACAGCGGTGATTGAACCAGAGTTGTTGTCGTATTCGCCTGACAGTGCTTGCGTAGGTGATGTAGTCATTCGCAAGTCTTTCGCTCTGTCGTCCAAGTGAACGTAATGCAGTAAATGGTTTGAACCCGGGGGTAACATGAAAACGAACGCCTTTGACACCCAACTGTACTATCGACTGAGGTGCTCGGTACCACAGCCACCGAAACTCTACGGTTTGCCGAAACTTTCTGATTCTGACTCGAAAAAATAAAGGAAAAGTTTTTATGGTAGAGTCGTTTTCAGTGGTTATCCCGCGCGCGCCTGTCTATCGCGTCCTATTTAAGTTAAAAGAAAACAACTTTATGGAATTTTTCAAAACCTTGTCCGGGGTCGTATGATAAAATGCCAATTGACTGAGTTAGGTCGGGCTGGACGGGAAAATACTTGGCTCTCGTTCATGACGCACGGGAGCCAAATATTTTCCCCTTTGGCCTTCCCACGCAGTCAATAAGAACATATTATTCTTGTTTGTTATTTGAGGGGGTAAATAAACTTTCCTGTAATACTATTGGATAAAACGACCATAAAAGCATAAAACTTGAACATACCGAGTCAGTTTATTTCCCGTTAAGTTCTTGGTTACATTTTATAGAGAGGAAATTAGGGCAGAGTTGAAAACTGACAACCCTCAGTGTTCGCTATAGGAGGGTCTCAATGGAGTTAATCGTCAAATGGCCAAAATATTAACCGAGAAAGGATAAAACCGGTCCAATATGTTTAATACTCTTTGATCCCTATGAGTGACCAGCATCTCATTTCTCCTCGCAACATCACCCCTGAATCAAACATAAAGGTCACGAGAATAAAGAAAATGATCACCACCAAAAAAGCTGTTGATTGTTAAGTAAGTTCTCCTTGTCAACACCTTTGGAAATGTATGGGGAAGAGTATGGAGAATATACATGCTGATGTTAGGGTGGAAAGAGTCAAGTAAACACAATCTATTGCAGACACTATATCACTACATCATAACTATTTCAAGATTCTTTTTTTAGTTGTCACTTTGATAGTCATTCATCTTGAGTATACTATTAGAAACAAAGATTAAATATATCTGTAAGGCTGTGTGAACACAATCAACATTGACTGCAACTGTGTCCTGATCATTATCACTATGTTATTCAATACAGATATTTCAAATCAGTGTTATTCTTTCAAAGACTGTAGAATTTTGCTTTGATGTTGAGTTAGAGAGGGGGAGAGGGGGGGGGAAGAGGGCCTCCTATGCTATAACATGGTTTTCCAGAGTGTCCATTTGTAGAAGAGTACCAATTCATATGTAACAAGAGATTCGTTATAGTCAGTTTTCTTCTCTACCTCATGCTCTTATTTGTAATTTGGTTCAAGAAAATTCATAAACAAGTACCAATTCATATGCAACAAGAGATTTGTAATACTCCATTTTCTTCTCTAGCTTATAGTCCTGTTGGTAATTTAGTTCAAAGACTTCATTTAAGTGGGTAATTTAAATCTGAAACACAAACACTCTTGGGATACATATACCAAATTGTTCATTGTGGTCTACTATGGTCTTACTCTGCCTGCCTGCCTGCCTGTCCACTCCCTTAATTTGACTATAGAGTTCCTTTCTTTAACTTAAGCCATAAAGTAAACTTTACACTAAAAAATCCATATGTAAAACTAATTTTAAAGTATAAGTTGAGCTACATTAACTTCTTTGAAAGAAATTCAATTTGACATAAATAAATTTAGAGTGATCAAAGTAGGGTGATCTTTCCAGATGAATAAAGGCTGATAGTTTCTAAAGAAACTGTTTGGGGCTGCGTCGGTTGGGGTTAAATGAAATAATTTGAATGTATCAACAAAGTTGAAATGGTAAATTGGCCACCATTACGATTATAAAAGCTGACGTTTCGAGCATTAGCCCTTCGTCGGAGTGAAAGACGAAGGGCTCCGACGAAGGGCTAACGCCCAAAATGTCAGCTTTTATAATCGTAACGGTGGCCAATTTACCATTTCAACTTTGTTGATACATTCAAATTATTTGATCTTTCCAAAGTTAACAAGATCAAATGCTAACAATATTCTGTGTGGGGTAAGAGTTGGTGCCCTGGACCAGCCCTCCATTATAAGCAAGGAGGACTGCTCTTTGGCCATCTTTGGCTATCCCTCTTTGGTGCAAACAAGGTCTTAGCTCCCCTTTTCCATCAAAAAGAAGACCAAATAGCCAATTTGGAGGAAAAACCAATTTTAATTTAATAACGCAATTAAATCTTAAAAAAAAAATCACTCTGCCTTGCAAGTGTCCAAAACAAACAGAAAATTATCTGTCAGTAAGAACCTGTCTCTGTGAAAAACAACTAGCTAAAAACTTACTTCTTGACTGCCTTCGTACTTGTGGCAAATAACCAGTTAGCAATATTACAATAACTGGTTTAATTAAGCTTGGTTGAAACTGAACTGAAAAACAGAACAACTAGATTGAGCTTCTTGAATTAAACGTTTTATGGAACAAACATTGCTGCAGCAATAATTATTGCAATATATTTATCCAGTTTAAACAGAGTGCATGCACAATGGTAAATATAAACAGAGCATACATTCAACTTAACAATTAGTTATAATAAAATGAATAGTCAGTGAAACATTTCCTTCTCTTGATTAAATAGACTGAAATTAAAGATTTCATTTATTTTTTTTTTAATCCTTAATAAAGTAATCTTCGACTTCACTCAAAGGTAGCTCTTACTTTACTATTCACTACCCTTCTTTTGCCGTCCTGTGAAAGTGTTCATTGCCACATCTGCTCCAAGGAAGTTCAACAGCAGATCTGTAGCTCTCTCTGGTAGGGAACTTGATGATAGCACAAGAGAAGAACACTGTCAGAATAGGTTTCATGAGGGTTGCTATTTCAAGGTATAAGTATATTTTCCTTAGATAAAGGTTCCAAACTGGCATAAAAATTGTGGCATACCTATTAATTCAAATGTGAAAGTGACGTATCATTTTGCAAGAAATTGCTAGTATCAGGGTCACCAACTTTAATCATGACTTTGTCTTAAAGGCTGATGAAATCTTTTGAATTGTTAAAATCAAAGTTACGCAGACATCAAAAAGATGCATCATCTCTTTGCAAAATGTAGTTTTTAAATGAAAGTTCTCTACAGGTTTCATTTGAACACAAAAACAGGATTGTTATCAATGTAACCAATTCAATTTAAATGAAAGCCAGGTCAGTTTGACCAGATCTAGTGAGGCAATTTGTCCTGTAAGAGCTGCAAGTAAAGCCTTTTGGTAGTCAAGAAGTGGGGCAATCTGAACACAACACATGATAAGCCCAGTGATAGTTGTACCAATGAACCAAACTGAATAACTTACTGTTGTAAGGCTGTTGATAAATAGGCACCTCGAGGCATAGTAAGGTGAATTTGGTTCTTTTCAATAGCATCAATGACCTTGGATGCTGCATATTGTGGAGTAAGGGTACCGAAGCCTACCAAGTTGGGAAACCTTAACATGTACAAGACCAAGAATAATTTCCACTGTTAGCAATAAATTGAGTGAAGTTCTGATATTATCTGACAAAAAAGCTTTTTTGTGTGAAGCATGCAGAAGCCACCTATCATATGTATATGTTATAAGCTTATCTAGTAAGTGATTATGTTTTTTTTCGTTCTCATCTTCCTCCTCACAACTGCATTTCTCCTTACAATGTACCAGCACTGCCACCTTTCCCTTCTCCCAACCCTGCTCCATCCAGCATATCAATCATACTTTAAACGCATCTTTCTTACTTTCCCCTCCTTACGACCTTAGTAAAGACTTGGCAAATCAAATCTAAGCATCAAGTGACAGGGAAGGGGGGAAGGAGGAGAAAAAGAGAAGGTGGGAAAGGGGGGAAGGTGGGGAAGTGGGGAAGGAGGGTAAGGGGAAAAGGAGGGTAAGGGGAAAAGGAGGGAAAGGGGGGCAATTAAGGGTATGCGGTGGAGCTGGTTATTTCTCATAAAGCTAACTACAACTAAACAGGAGGGCTAAACTATCTGGCAGCAATCCCTGTTTTTTTTACTAGAATATGCCCCTTCCTTCCCTTTTCCTTCTCACAGCTTATGGGGTGCCAGTAAATTGCTATAGTTTCACTCTGTTATACTTGTTCTCCACTCCTTTCCACTTTTTCCAACTTGATAATTTAAGGACTCATCATTGGTGGCAAGGGATGAGGGAAGTTGGTGGAATGATGGGGCTCTTAAGGGATACTTACATCCTTGAGAAATAAAAGTTAACTACAGTTTTACAAGCAACCCTCTTTTAAATTTGAGCTTGCCCTTTAATCTGGCTTCCATTCCTCTTACTCCTCATGACCTGATCTCCTGCCTTTCTTCCTAAGCACTTGAAAATCTCATACAGCTGAGATAAGAAAACTTTAGACCAACCTGAACCTAACTCCATCAAACATTCCGGTGGTTATAAGTGAAGGACAGACAGTTGTCAGTTGAATGCCAGTCTTTTTCTGACTTAACAATTCTTGACGTAATGCCTCCATCAGACCAACAGCTGCAAACTTGGATGAACAGTAGTCAACAGCACCAGCAAGACCAGTATAACCAGCAATAGATGCTATGCTTACTATGTGGCCTTGGTTATGTTGACACATACTTGGGAGGAACTCTTTGATGGTCTATATATGGGAAGGAAAGGAACTTTATGAACAGGAAATTATAAAAAACAAAAGAGAACAGTTCACAAAATACTATTAATTGTAACACTTCTCTCGATCAGTTGAATGAACAAAAATCTTATACATGTATTGTATACAATGTACACTGTATGATCTGGGGCGGATACAGGATTTAGTCAAGTGGGGTTTGGAGAATTGTTCCCCTTCTGAGGGGTTCAAGATTGTGAAAATTCAGTCTTTGGAAACATGATTTCCAGCGTTCTGAGGGAAAATTTAGGGGGTTCGACTGAACCACCAGAACCACCCTAGATGATTAAACATAAACCCAATGTAAATGGGGTTAGGGCCTATGTAAATAACCATGAGATCTTTTTATTTCTGTTTGAAATACCTAAAAACAAGGGTGGGAAGTAAAAGCAAAATAAACCGAAATCTGACGTCAAGTCTGTGAATCAAACATGGAGCAAAACAAAGTAATTTGGTTATTTATCAACTAAGTTGAAATTGTAAATTGGCCACCGTAAAGAGTTAAAAAGCTGACGTTTTGGGCATTAGGCCTCCATCAGAGTCAGAATGGAGCAAATCAGACTGTTAGGTACATGTAGGTGCTCTCATTGCCGCACCCTCCTGATTCTCTTATTAACCCTAGATATTGGTTCTAGATCTCTGCAATGTCTGTTTTATAAGTCTTATAATTCATTTTAACCTTCTAAACCCTTAAGCACCTAACTGTTCCTTAATTATAACATCACCCTTCAATCACATGTTAAGCAGGGCTTGACACTAACTTTTCAACTTACTAGCCAAGTGGCTTGTGACATCTTAGATGTTACAACAATTTCAGTTTGTTTACTAGCCAAACTGGCTAATGGAAATTGAAAACCACTAGTCAAAACTGAATTTCTACTAGTCTGTGGCTAGTTGGCTACCGTTAGTGTCGAGCCCTGATTAAGGTCACAAGAATAAAGGAAATGATCACCAGTCCCAGACTGTTAAACAAGTTCTCCTTGTCAGCACCTTATGAAATGTATAGAAAACAGTATGGAGAATATGCATACTGATAATTAAGGTGTAAAGGGTTAAGCTCTGAGGATTTGGTGGAAAAACAAAAGAATAAGTCTTAGTGATTGATCTTTTTCTATTTTCTCATTACATTTCTGCTTAACAGTAAAGTGACATTGCTGGGAGAAGTGCTGTCTTGGTCACCTCTAGCAGGAGTGAATGAGTAAACAAGAAATAAATTCTGTTGCCTCCAAATTTTATGGTTTCAAGAAATGAAACAAGTGCTCTTGGAGCAGCCATTTAAGTACTGAATACTGCCTGCATATTAACTATCCTACCTAATTTAAAGCCATGCACAAAAGAGAACTCACCCAGAAATGTGATAAGATGTTAACATCCATAGTTGCTAAAATTTCTTCATCACTGCAATCCATAACCTTCTTTCCTGTTATGATACCAGCGTTATTAACAAGAAGGGAAACTTCACCAACTTCTTCTTTCACTTTCTTGGACATCTCAGAAATTTCCTTCCTATTTCGCAAGTTACATTCATAAGAGTGCACCACACCACCAGCTGCTTCTATTTCCTTAGCAACGACTTTGAGTCCATCACCATTGACATCCCATATCACCAATTTGCAACCTAAAGAAAAAAATAAATAATTTCGTGATTTTCTTCATCATTACTTGCTGTGGATAATGGTTCAGTTTCATTCTTAGTTTGCTAATTTGATTTATTTGTTCTTGAATATTTCATAGAAACATCAATTCTTGTGTATCAACTCTCCTGCACAGTAAAGGAGTCATGTATGAGCAGATACAAAGCAGATCTTATGGTCTCCCCTAAATTTGACTAAATTGCCTACATAAAAGTACATTTGGATATTAATTTTTCTCTAAAAATGAAGAAGTAAAGACAAATTTATTTTTACCAAAAAATGGTTGGGTGTTCTGTTCATGTAAAAGAGTATTGTACACTAGAAATTATTAACAGTAGTAGTAACTGGTAATGAGAGTACATTTCAACATGTATGAGGGTAACATTATTTAACATTGCAGATCTCCAGATTTCAGATTTTAATTTTGCATCTTTAAATGTATGACACAACAAAGAGAAATAAATTTTGAACACATAAAAATAAAGAATTAAACTACAACACATATTAAATTGTTGCTGATTCACCATTTCACTCCCAGGATGTGACCAAAGAGAAATTTCTCCTCACCATAAATGTGTAGTTTTGATCAAAGGTGAACAGGAAAAGAAAAGGTATTACCCAGAGGATATCATTTGAACTAACACCAAATTCTCAATGGACAAATTAAAAAAAATGCATATCAGACAGTAAAGAGAATTGATGTTTTGATAGTCTGATCAAGGCATCTATATACAGGGATCTCTTTCTATAAAATCTCATGAGAACCAATAGTAAGATTAAAACTCTCTTTGAGTTACTTTCCAACATGTGAAGAAAGTCATAGCCAATGTTTGAATTGTCTTTTTGACTGTAAAATCCTTCATTTGTACATGGAAATACTGTAGTGGTAAAAAAAATTTGAAGCCTAACTGTAGAAAAGTGGAGGGGTTTTTGGTTGTCCGAAATTATCATCCCTTCAAACTTATCCTTTTACTCTCTAACTCCCAGACGTGAATGACATGCAACTTCTCTTTATAGTATCCATACATCATTCCGTAAACAGGTAATGAGAATACTCAAACTTATCAGGTAAAAGTTATCTTGATTGATAAAACAACAAATAATTGTAACTAACATATAACCTGGACGGGAGATTTAACAATCAGATCTTGAGAGTTAGAGGGTAAAAAATGTACCATTTCTCTGATATGCCTTGTTGTATACCTATGTTTAACAATCTATATCACTATATACGGTTAGAATTATCTTTTTTTTTGGGAGGGGGGGCAGGGGGGATATGTGATGTGGCCCTCTATTTTTCCGTTTAGTATCAGCTTCTTGTAATTAACCGCCATATTTGCCCAATATGATCTTAGGCTTGACTAATGCAGTCGCCCACTTAAACTATAAACTCCAAGTGAAAGTTATGATATTTAGGCAAAAAATATGCCTGCATCACCAACTGTTTTCATTCAAATTCGTTCATCCGTACACCGCAGTTTTCCGTGCACCAAGAACTTCTCAAGAACTTCATTTGTACAAAGGACTCTCTGAGTGAGAATAATATAATTTCTGACTGAGCCCTCAATGTACAAATATCAGTTTTTCACGCTGTTTTCTTTTGTCCCATTGGTTAAATACACTTGTTTTTAAGGGGGAATGATTTTAGAATCCAACGACATATGATGTCAACAACTGCCCGGTTGTGCAAACTGTTCCCTGTTTTCGAAACTTAATTACGACATTTATCAAATCTGATCGGCAGTAGGAGAGATGATTTCACCAGCTTCAATTCTTTCTCTAATGTGTGCAAGACCAGTCAAAGTTTCTATTTGAAAAATTAAAGTGGAAGGTACTGTAAGTCTGGAGAGCATTAGCTTGCTTCGTGGGGGCATTATGAGGTAACGTTCGGGCAGAGGACAAACCTTTGGCTGCCAAACCGAGAGCAATGAGTCTACCAATTCCGCTCGCTGCCCCCGTCACCAAAGCAATCTCTCCGCGAATGTCTTTTCTCTGTGAGGGTAAAATCCATTTCATCGCTGACTCGATCACACAGAGCCAAACTCGTACCATTATGTATGCTATTTCCCAAATCATGGACATCACGTATCCTTTTCCCGTGAAATACAGGGCGAAAAGAATGCCTTGAATGATCATAAGAGCGTAGAGCACATATACAAGCGCCATCGTAGTAAATGAGCGGACAAATTAATCTTTTCAGAGTGAAGCTTATGATAGTCGGTGTTTACAGGCAGCTGTCTCAACCAACTTCCGGAAGACTGGGGAGAGGAAGTTGATTTGAAAATTCAGAAAAGAAACTACAGAAACGGCCAGCTTGTAACCCTTAAGACAAAAGAAAACAAAAGAAACTATAAAGAAACTACAGAAAAGGCCAGCTTGTAACCCTTAAGACAAAAGAAAACGATGTTCCAACTAGCCAATCAAGCATCAAGCACCATCTCTACTGACCATCCAACATACTGTCAATCAATATCTTGATATCCCAGAGTGTAAAGCGGTACGGCTATTTGCTATGGATTTCAGCAAGGCTTTTGACAGTGTGAAACACGATCTCCTCTCACACAAATTGAAGCAACTCCCCCTAAACCCTTATATAGTTAACTGGTATCTAAGATTTTTGGAAGACAGGCAGCAGAGAGTCATTAGCAATGGGTTTATTGGTAAATGGAAAGTGTCAACAAAGGTACCACCCAAGGAAGTGTAAGCGGGCCGCACTTGTTCAATGTCTTTCTCAGTGATTTAGAGATTCACTTGGACAATAAGAGCGTGCTGGTAAAATATGCAGATGATACAACCATTATCTCGCCTGTGATAAGTGATAATGACAATTCTATCGCACTGATTAATCAGTTTTCCCAGTGGTGTAGAAGTAATGATATGAGTAGTAATCCATCTAAGTGCAAGGAAATCATTTTCCGCAAGAAAGGTTGTACAATAGAGTTTCCTATTGTGTCTGGAATACCACAGACAAAAGAGCTTACTAATTTAGGGGTAACATTTCAGGAAGATAGTAGGTTTATAACACATATTCTGGAAAACTAATCAAAGCAAACAAGTGCCTGTTCATTTTAAATTCTTTAAGGAAAGAAGGGTACAATCAGGCCGAAGTAGACCATCTGTTTCTAAATCTGGTTCTACCAAATGTATTATACGGGCTGCCCGTATTTGGCGCTGTAAATTCCGAATTAACAACAATCCAATGTTTCTTAGATCGATGTTATAAGCGCAAGTATACATCCGACCACATTAATGTCTATGAATTGTTAGATCGACAAGACAAACGTATCTTCAAGAATGTTTTTAATAATACAATACATCCTTTAAGAGCTATAATGCCAAAAAAGAAATCAACCAAGTGCAATCTGAGGAAAGAGACGAGTCACCATTCTAAAATAAACACTGATAGGTTCAAAAACACGTTTGTCAACCGCTTAATTTTTAAACATAATTTTGTCTTATAATTTTTATCTTGACTTTCTCTGTAATTTATATATATACCTTCTTTTAATGTTGTAACATAGGATATGTGATTATTTATCTTATGCCTTAATAAAGATTCAATTCAATTCATTTCAAGAGGTTCACTTTTAGACGTTTTCTAGACGGTCAGTGTTTTTCTGTCATGGGTGACAGTTATTTTTATCTCTTTAAAAAGTAAAATCCGGATCTTCTGATGTAAAAAATGTTAAATTTTTTTATTTTTTCGATGCTTCTCTCAGCTCAGCAGCTTAAATAAATCTATGCTGACAGAAGAGGAATCTACGGCCAGCCTTCTCATTTTTCTCCTCCGAGAGTTCTTCCGCCATTTTGAATATCCCATGTGTCTTTGCACGCATTCTTATGAACCCGCGATATTTTGGGTGTCAAGATTGAATCATCTGAAAAGATGAAGTAATTTCGAGAACTGGTAGTGTCAGTTATTTAGCCGTTTTTTCGGCTACGTGTTACCTAATTTACTAACACGATGTGATATGTTTTATGCGATATTATAGACGTCGCAAATGAGTGGCAACAGTGTAGTTGTGCAACGTGTAATTCGACCAACGCCGCGATTTAAATATTCATTGAGGGACTTGTAAAGTCATGTTGGAGAGCTTGGCCGCATGGGTTCTGAGAACTTACGTTGGAGAATACGTGGAAAACCTAAACACTGACCAGCTTTCCATCGGCTATGGTACGTCAAGATAAAGTGAATGCTTGTTTATACTTCTCATTGAAAACCATTTATTAATTATAGGTGGGATTGTTGCGTTACACATTATAGAATTAATATCGATACTTGTAAAATTTAAACTTATATTATATTATTTGGTAATATGGATATGCACATGTCGTGACTTAAGGAAATTGTAGGTATGGGAACTGGATACCTTTCGTCTTATTTACCATTAAGTAATTCTTAATTATTTTCTGACGAGCTGACTCTTAATTAGACGTGCACTTGTTTTTAAAATATGATTGTGTATCGTGACTGCAAAATAAAAGTATGTGTAGCTTTCGGTTTTGTTAAGGTATCTTAAGCGGACAATAATTTTAGAAATACAGTTTTTTTTATAATTTTTAACAATCAAATGTTGTAAGGGAACACAAATTGCAAGATTCGTCGATTTGCTTGAACAACATCCAGGAATGATGTTATTGATATTTGCTATCTGAATAATTAGATTTCAACATATGGTATTTCTTGAAGGATATAAAATTTCCAATAGTTTGAGGATATCTAAGGCTTTGGTGAACATTTGTCTTACATGAAGTTTTTTCATCTAGTTGCCGACTAAATCACTTTAAGATCGTTAATATTTACTGTACAATTACTACAGCTATAGAATTTGCATTGAAAGCAAAACTGATGAATTGGATCTTTGCCAAACTCAGAATTAATAAATAATCTGGCAGCTCAAACATTTACCTTAAGGTGCATGTTTATCAGTAGTTTCATGTTTTTTTTTTTTTGTAATTGCAAAAATCATGTGTTTTAACTTTTTGGTGATGCAGTAGAGAGAAAAAGGATTTCTGATAGTCTAACAAATAGTTATGACATTACATCATATAAGTTTCAGAGTGGGACACTGCACGAATCATGTGCATGTAACATGGCATGCAGCTTGCATTCATACTAATTTCACTAGCAGTGCAAAATCTCATTTAGTAATTCTCTTTCCCATTTGCTTTACATTTATTCAAATGGAGAACTTGGTATTGGATCAAACGATTGTCCTCAATTGATATATTCTTTATTCTCAATACTTGTCTACTTGATATTGTAATTATCTAGCTGGTAGAGCCAGTGGTTAATATGAGCAGTGCTTTCAATAAGACCCGGCACCCGCCTGTTGTGAATCGCCCGGTATATTTCACCGCGCTCAAGTCACAGTCACCACGCTAAGTCGCAATCAAGTCTCTTTCCGGCGGGTGTTGTACCGAGGTAGCCACCTATTTCAAATCTTATTGAAAGCATTGTATGAGGTGAACCCTGTGTTTGGTTTGGCTATCTGAGTGGGCTATCTGAACAGGCAAGTTGGCTTGCTTTGATCCCACACAAGAAAAAAAATTGTTCGAAGCAGACTTACAAAGTTAGTGTAGTTCCTGAGAAAGAACTGAATTTGCTTTTGTGGAAATTTTTTTTAAAATGTAAAGAAAACCTAAAAAATCACCTTTAATTATTATTCAGTTTTGCAAGTGAATAAGGGACATGCACGGTTGGCTTTCTTTCCAAGTGCTCAAAAATGAACATGCAAATTTTTTGCACTCTATAATAAATCCTTTATTGACCAAGCTTGTTTGGTCTAGAAAGCTGGATATTAGCCTTGTTCGTGTTCTTTTTTGTGTTTTTATGCACCTTGACTTTGTCTCGATCCTTAAAAAAAAATTAAGGAAAAGAACTCAGCCACCATCCAGCCATCTAGCCATCTTGACCTCATGCTTGATTAATAATGCATCAATGCCTGTGTTGCACATGGAGGTTGGGTGCCTAGGGACCAGGGGGCTGGAGCTGCCGACCTAAAACCCAGGACTAGTAAGAACACCTGAAAAACCTGCCCTAGCCACAACCCAGCCACATTAAGCCCTGCCTGCCACACCCAACCCCCCCCCTAAGCGCCTGTCACACTGAGGAGTTCAGTGGAAAGATTAAAAAAAAATCTTCAAAGTAAACCAGAATACCTTGAGCTTTAAGAACAGTGGAACTATGAGCACATGCAACAGTGCACACAAATAAGAGTGCAACAGGTGACCTCCAACCACTGCTGGAAGTTGCCCGCAACATGCTTAGAACAGAGGTTAAAATGCCGTATATAGGATATACACCAGCTTGCCAAAGTACGCTAATAAACACCAAGTCATGCCAATGTCACACAACCACAGAACAGCTATAAGCTGCTCCAAGTCGTTAACTAAGTTAAATAGGTATATTTTCACCTCATTAAATTTTGTAAGGATCAATTCTGTCTTAGTCACCCCTGGGAGTTAATGGGCTAACTGTTGCCTTGATTTACCTTACTAGGTACTGTTGATCTTCATAATCTACCTCTGAAAAAGACAGCTCTGAAAGGTCTTGAGCTTCCATTAGAAGTAAAATCTGGATTCATTGGTCATTTGCAACTCTCAATACCCTTGCGTCGACCAAAGTCTGAGCCATGGATTGTACATATTAATAAGCTTTATCTTGTTGCTGGACCTCTTAAACATTCAGAGGTAATGTGATATTGATGTATATCTTTTGTAGCTTTAGTATTTTTTGTTCTGTAGCCAATATGATACTGCTGCCTAAGAGTTTTTCAGTCTTGTCTGGTTTGAATTGTTTTGGTGAAAATAATGCTAAGAAAACAAAATCTGCACATTTTACTTCTATCTTTCGTACATTACAGTGCATCAAGATTGAATGCTGAAACTCAGCTTACTAAAGGGTGTAAACAAATGTGTCTAGCTCTACATCATTGTACAATAATGATAAAAATATTTATCCTGGTATCTTCTAAGGCATATTGTATAAGTGTACATCTTTGGTTTCAAGTGAAAGTGAATGATTCGATACCTTAATAGCAGCATAGGCTGAATTGCTGAGGTCTACAGTGTTACTAAGGTTGAGATCGGACGTTAGCATTATCAGGCGCCTCTGGCAGCCTCTTTTAGTCCATGTAATGACCTCACCTTAGTGTTGATCACCTTTCTCAGTAACAAAGATAAATGATCAGCTTGTGTTTGTAACAACATATATATATACAATTTGGTTGTTAGTTCACTCAGTATCATCCAAAAGCCAATTACCACTGACAGTAATTTTATTTTGTCTGTTTAGTACAATGAAGAAGAGGAAAAAGAGAGGGAAAGGACACGCAAGAAGAAACGCCTGGATGCATTGGAAGGTCAATGGCTTGTAAGTTGTCTTAAATGCTTTTTTAAACCTGCAAACAGAAGGCATTGTGTATTTCTCTTTACAGAATAAACTCTAATTGATGGAGTTTCAATTCTGTGAGTGTTGAGTGATGTTTTAGCAGGAAGATAATTCCTTCAGATCTATGACTTGTCTGCAGTTTCACTATAAATCCCATAACAATAACTTAAGGAAGACAATCAAATGGTTGGTAATCAAATTCATTCAGTCACAATTCAACTCAACCCCAGTCAATCTGTCCACCAGATTGTGTTCTTGCATTCAGTTATCCAAAAATAAAGAGAAAAGGACAATTATTTCTAGGAACTGTTCTTTCTTGGAACCCATCTCAATTGAACAAGTGTGCTTGATTTTTGATGTAATTGAGCTAAAAAAACTGTACACAATTCACAACAAGTTAGTGCAATTTTTGTACTGATAAGCTGTATCATTTGCATAATTGTTTGATTAATTGAAAAAAAAGTTTATTAAACCTTAACTTAGCCTTTTCTGGATCTACTGGGCAGTTTTTTACTTGATCAGAGAGTTTCTCAGGAATGTTGGGGACATTTAAACATTTTATTGCATTCAGTTGTTGTAAATTGAGAGTTTTATTGTAAAGATCGTTTTGGTAAATTTGATCATGTTTGATACAGAACTCAGTTGACCACATTCCATGATTGATAGTTTGTGTTCAGTTGAGTTTGATTTAAAATTCATTAGATTTTGTTTGACCATCTACCACTACAACTACAGTACAACAAATGAAACTAATTTGCAGTGCAGTGTTGTAAGGTAGGACACCTTTTTTTTTTATTTTTTACTTTATTTTTTTAACGAAGGATATCTGTTCTTTTATCAACAGGCTGGCAGAAATGACAATAGTGGAGGCTTCTGGTCTGGTTCATGGTGGCCGTCCTTGTACTCATCATTCTCAACAACTATTGTTGAGAACTTACAGGTATTGTCATCAATTGGCTGCTCTCATCCTGTAATAGCTTTACATGTATCTCTCATTTTCAGCTTTGTTCAGAAATTGTTCTATTCCCTTGTCCCTCTTTTCCTTTCCTCCTCTGTTCTGTAATTCCTCTCATTACTGTTCTTTCATCCTTTTTTTCTCTTCATGCTGTTGTTCTTTATCC